ACTGTGTTTTTCCAATGATTTGTGGCTCCCGAGGGTCGAAAAGTAGGCTCGCTAAAGCGGCGGGAACGGAGCCAGCTGGCCAGATGAGAGATAAAAAATTGCACGCCGTTGTGGCGCGAAGCACATTTCCAAGTCAAAATGTACAAAGCGCCTCACGTTCGGAGCCCTTTTGGAAGTTGAGATGTTGAAAAAGTGCACGCCGTTGTGGCGCGAAGCACATTTCGAAGTCAAAATGTACAAAGCGCCTCACGTTCGGAGCCCTTTTGGAAGTTGAGATGTTGAAAAAGTGCACGCCGTTGTGGCGCGAAGCACATTTCGAAGTCAAAATGTACAAAGCACCACATGCTCGCGCCACTCTTGGACGTTGAAGCGTCCTTTTGCGTGGCCAGCGCAAGGGATTGTGCACCTTGCCAAAAGTGAGCAAAACGTGAGGGTTTTTGTAGCATTTCCAAAAACGATGGCAGTTGTGGGACATTTGAAGAAGATCTGCAAAGATGTATTTTCCGTGGCAGGTGCAGTACAAGAGACATGTTCATCAGAGCTGTTAGGAGGTCCGGGCGCTGATTTCCTGAGAGGAGTTGCATTTTGGAGCATCAGGTCTTCAGGTTTGCTGAGATGATTTTGCGTGACAGGTGCAGCACTTCCTATGACCTGGCATCACTTTTTCGTGGCAGGCGCAGTACTTCAGACAGGTGGAGTGGACAAATCGCAAAACGCATTGGCACGAGGCCGTCAGCTCTGCACTCAACTTTCCATTTTTGCAGGAAGTCTCCGAGAATTGCTTCGTTTTTGATGTTGTCAACTTCGAAAATTGAGGAAATCTCGCAGACTTGTTTCGTTTTTGACGTTGTCAACTTCAAAATTGAGGAAGTCTCGCAGAATTGTTTCGTTTTTGACGTTGTCAAGTTCAAAAATTGAGGAAGTGTCGCAGAATTGTTTCGTTTTTGATGTTGTCAAGTTCAAAAAATGAGACAGTCTCGCAGAATTGCTGCATTTTCAAGCTTACAGTTAGACAGACAGACAGACAGGCAGACAAACAGATAGATAGATAGATAGATAGATGTATAGATAGATAGATAGACAATTACAACTACAACTACAGCTACCACTACGCTACACAACACTACTGCTACAACTCCAAATACAAGTATACTACGCTACATTACACTTCACTAACTACACTACGCTACACTAATTACATCTAGTTACACTACACTACACCAATTACACTAACAACTGCCACAACAACTACTACCACAACTACAACTACAATTACAGCTACACTACACTACACTAATTACACTGCAGCACACTACAACTACAAATGCAACTACAACTACACCTGCAACCACACTACATTACGCAACACTACACTACACTGATTAGATTGCATTACGCTACAGCTACAACTGCAGCTGCAACTGCAGCTGCCACTACAACTACCACTACATTACACCACACCACACTACGCTACACTACGCTACACTGCACTACACTACGCTACACTACACTGCACTGCACCGCACTACACTACAAATACAACTACAACTACACTACCTTACACTAGACTACACTACACTATACCACACTACACTACACAACGCTACACGACATTACACTGCACTACACTACACTAATTACACCACACCACGGCTACAACTGCAACCGCGCTTGCAACTACACTAATTACACTACATTATATACAACTACAGCTCCACTACACTACACTACAACTACAGCTACAACTGCAACTACAACTGCAACTACAACTGCAACTACAACTGCAACTACAACTGCAACTGCCCTACACCACACTACACCCAGCAGTTGTGGTACGGTAAGGTGACCACTGCAACCGTTGCAACCACTCCAAAAAACACAGCTCCAGCCACCTGTCGGTCCATCAGTGGATTCGCTCTGCCACCCGTGATTCACAACAACCAACCTCTAACCTCTCATATAGGTTCCCTATTTGTGAAACTTCCGCCACCGCCTTGTGCGGCACTACTGGTATATATTATATAGCATAGTGAAACGTTCAAATTGGTTAATTAATCAGATTCCTTGAGCAGGGTCAGTATCAAAGTCTGTGGGTTCAGTCATGACGTTGGCTCAGTCTCGGCTTTGTTGGTTCCTCAAATTGCCACGTTTCGAGCCCTGATTCACTGCATTCTGCCTTGTGATAGCAGATGCATTCCTTCGAACAGAGCAATTCTCCTTCGGGCCATGTCATATAAAACTTCATGCTGCAGGAGGAAGACTCCATGGTTCTGGAAGAACTAGCGTTGATGTCCGGCTCCTATCTGAAACATGGAGACGTTGCCCATGCTGAGTCTGCTTGCCCTTTCGAATGTTGGAGTTTCACAAACTTGTCAGGTTTATTCAGGTTTGCCTGTTTGAAGCCTTCACACGCAGAGCTGCCCAGGTGGGAACCACCTGAAGCCGCTCCGTCCAACAAAGAGGTGTGGAACATTGTCATCGTTGAACCAACTTGAACAAACTTGAGAGTCCTCTCACAGACACTGTGTTACGGTTTCACCATGGCATCGCCTCTGCCCAAATCACAAGAGCTGCAGCGCATTTGGTTGTGCTGCTCTCCAAGCACCTCTGCTATCTCTACTGATCCAGGATCTAGTTCCCACAGTCCGCCTGGAAAGCCTGGAAAGTGAAGAAGTATCATCCATACCACTACCACAAGAGCCTGAGAAAGTGAGGTCGAACCCATAGCTTTTCAATGATTTTCAGCTTTGTGAACAGAAACGGAATTCAGTTCCTGGCGAAGACATGTAGAAGATCTAAATGAATCTAAATCGATGAATAAAATGGAAGCATCGTCACTGAAGAATTGTGAACAGTAAATGGCTGGAATGTGTGTGGGATTGAAACATTGACCCCATTCCTAGACATGTGGCTGAGGACAGGAATGGTCATGGACTTCCGCGGGTCACCTATTATTCCTTTGGGTGTGCTGAGCAGCGGTGCTGCTGATATGACTGGTGTACAGGAGAGCGACTCTCGAAGCATTTGTTGACAAGATTTGCTGCTGATGCTTTGATGCTTTCAACTTCCACACCGTCTTTACATGTGTCTTTACATGTGTCTCTACATTTCTCTACTGCATTGTGTGCCACATACTTTATGCCAGACGCAAAGCATGGGGCCATGGGGGCTTGCGTGCAGGAGCGTTTGGAGAAGCGCTTGGTGGAGCCTTCTTTGGAGCACGAGCACAGCAAAGTCTTGGATCAAGGACGACAGAGCATCGGATTCTGATAGAAAAAAACCGTTCCAGAAGAAAGGACATTTCACACGACTTTTTTGGAAGCTCAGCTACTGATGCTGCTGTAAGCTTGAAAGATCTTGAAAGATTTTGAGAGCTTCCGGAAACTTTTGAATCCTTTGGAATCGCAGGAGACTTCCAATCTGTGACACGCCACTACCCAGGTGCCTTACACGGATCCAGTCAAGCCTAGGAGCGAATTCGAGCCTTCTTTGAACTTGCTTGACCTGATATTTTCTCAAGGTCCAGATTTTTTTGATTCAGATGGCCACCTGCAGGGTCGCCAGAAAGCAGGCAATTTTCATCAATCTTCTATAATTTTCCTGTGAGGCTACTATGACTGGACTGTGCTCCCTACAGACCTCATCGATGCACCACGCAGCTATGCCATCCGCGGTGTGACCAAGGACGACAATGTTGCAGTCGTTACTTCTGTGGGAGTGGGCCGCTTGCCTGGAAGCGTCATGTGGGTGAAATCTAGCGCTCAGGTGCAAATACTCAGGTATCATCATGCTGAATCAATCTGAATCATGTTTGTTTTCGCAATGTCCTGAAAATAGTTTCAATTTTGCATTACAAGACTTGAGTGCTGTTCAAACGGCAACAGCAAGACCTTCAGTGCAGCGGTGGTCAGACAAGGCATGAGAAGATTGGGGCATAGTGGAGCACAGGGGAGCATAGATGTTGGGAATCGTTGGATTTAAGAAGGTATGAGGAGGTGAAGATAGTGAAGTGTGCATTCTCTCTGCATTCGAGGTCATCTTAGAAGCAGCAAGACCGGTTTCAACAAGCGACCCGAAGTTCCTCCATCTCTGGTTGAGGCCACGATGCATGACGGAATTTTGTTCGAACCGTATCGAACCCGTCGACACAGACTTGACCTCCGCGCAACATTCATGTCGGCACATTCGAAAGACATATATAGATGACACATGATTCACATGATGACACTATGTTGATATTTTCTGCCGGTTGCGGCACATCCCGAATTGTGTCTTTGTCCAGTCGTCAAAGCGTGTGCAAGCAGCTGGGGTGGGCGGCTGTGAGGAGGAGGAGATTGCTGAAGAGGATGAAACTGTGGAGGTGGGAATTGCGCAGGAAAGTCAAGCCAGTACACAGCATATTGCTGTGAGTGGGGCAACACATTTTTACTGAAAGACTTTGTGCAACATTTGGGACAGCCAAAAGTCAGACAACGAGCGAACCAGAGTGGCAATAGAGGAAACACACCCATCGCATGCGTGATTCCTTGATATTCTTTCACCGTTCACGTCAAAGAGGCCTTGGAGCCAGCTGAAGCAGAAGAGGTGGACAATTGCTTCAATGGTCCAATGACTCAGAGATCACCAAATATTTCCCTTGAGTATTGGAATGATTCGCATATAATTGCATGATGTTTTCATTTTCTGGACGCCAAGCGCAAAGCATTTTTCAATAGCAGAAACGCAGAATTTGTTGCTGCAAATCTTAATTTGAATGGTAAAGTTTGACAATAAGCCTGACGGAATGGACGTTTGATACACTCGGAAGTACTTTCACAAGCGCAAAAGAAGAATACTCATAAAGAATTTTATTCATAAAAACATGCAGAGGAAACTTGAGGAAACTGCGCAGCAATTGTACAGGAGATGTAAAAATCTCCGTCTTACAGATGAGGTACAGGCCAGGTGGAGAAGCCTCCTCCATCCAGGACTTGTTGACTGGGCACCGGTCACGGGGCTGGTAGGACGGTTGCTAGGACTCAATGGATTCAACAGACTCAAAGTTGAATGACGGATGTGAAGTGCAGTAGGCTGTCAGACTGCGGCAGTTATCACTTTCAAATGCAGTTGCGCTCCAAATTCCTCTGCGCAACTTCAGAACTAGCAGGCCGTGGATTCTCAAACAGGCAGGCAAGCCAATAGCCTGGTATGCGCCATGTGTGTTATGTCCCCTGTCTCAGAGGGCAGTGGCAGAGTTTTTGTTTGGAAGCTTTTCCCTCCAGGAGCAGCAGACCACCAGTCACTGCACAAGGCATACAAGGCCCAGATACATTTGCTGCACAGCCTCAAGGACCTCAAGTCTTGGCATGTACAAGGCGCGGGTTAAGGCATCTAGTTACTAGTTCTGCATCATGGCAAACATGTGTCACATCGGTGTGTCGGATGGAACGACCTGACATGTTGTAACAACCACTGAAGTCTGGTGAGGCCGGTTGTCAAAGATTGTTGGTGAATCATGGTGAATCTAACTGCGTGTGAAGTGGCCGTCGTTGATTTCTCGGCTAGGCGGCCGAGCAGCGGTATGTCGCCAGATGAAGGCACATATATAGAATTATCTTTGATCTGTGCTTGGCAAAGAGACGGTCTGCCATCAGGCAATGACATGACTGGATGACAACTGGATGATTAGGAGATGCTCGGGAGACAGATCTGTATTGTGTGAGGTGATGAAAGTGAAGAGGAGCAGATTGAGGTGGAGGAGGCCAGGAGATCCTTTGCAATTAGAGCTAGAGGCTGGAAGGCAATAGCGAACTGATGCGAGCCAAATGTACAGATCCTTCACAGCAAAGTTTGTTTGGATTTGTACATTCTTGCCCTGCAGCTGTAGGAAGAAGTTGAAGAACCCTGGAGGAGCCAGTACAAGGGTCATGCACACGCCTTTTTGAGCTGAAGATGTTGCGTTTTTCATGTGTTTGTTCCCCTATATTTTCCTTCGTGTTCACTATCATTTATTTAATTTATTTGATAAATTTTGATCATAAGTCATAACAAGTCTATTTCTTTGCTTTCTTTGCTTTCAGCAGAGGAATCTGCGTATCGCGCGTGGTGTGCCCAAGCGCGCTGATGCTCCAAAGCCCATGGTGCAGAACATCGGCAACACTGATGCAGATGCGGCTCGCCAGATTCAGCTGGTGCACAATCCGAGTCGACTAAACAGCAATTTGGTGGTTAGAATATGTTAGAATCACATGCGGCAAAGCTGTCAGCAGACTTGTCTAAAGCCTCTTCTGGACAAGCTGGAAATGACTCTTGCATTGCCCGTCAAGGGCTTGGAGAATCGCCAAAGCCAAAGTTCAGATGTTCAAAGCCACTGTGTACATCTGTATAATTCTTTCTCTTAGCCAAGCAAACTTAAGTCAAACTGAGACCAACGTGAAGGAGACGTGCAAAGAGATTTCTGTTTCTGGCGGCGTGTTCCAGCTCAGGCTGCACGCATGCTGAAGGAGCATGGCCGTCTCATTGATGCTCCGGAGGATACCTACGATTCCAACTTTCTTACTCGTACTTTTCTTGGCCAGATCAAAGACGACGGCTTTACCAATCAACTTTAAATAGTGCGAACATGTGCAAACATATTTGAATATTATTTGAATCGCTTATATGGTTTTAATTTTTTCCACTGCATGCAAGAAGTGTTGGTTAGTCTTGAGCCCGTTGCAGTTTGACTTTGGTTACCGAGGTGTCACGGCCAAGAAGACCGATTTCGTGTATTGCGGCGTGGAACCTTCGGTTTGATGAACTTTGAGAACTATACACAAATCTGCATAGATTGATCGAATACACCGCATTCAGAGTAGATGGCCCCGCCCTCTTCCAAAGTGCGCGTGTAGATGGCGCCGACTTTTTGAATTTTGACACCCGAAAAGGGCGTGACATCCATCCCCCTTACTTTTGTGGGTCGCGCCATCTATGCCAGAATGTGTTGCCAATGTGTTTCAGGGTTGCGCCATCTATGCGGGGGGGAAAGGGAAAGGAGAAAGGAGAAAGGAAAAGGAAAAGGAGAAAAGGACAGGGGAAAGGAAAAGGGGAAAGGGGGCAGGGAAGGGGAAAGGGAAAGGAGAAGGGGACAGGAGAAAGGGAAAGGGACAGGGAACAGGATTTTTCTTTGGGAAACCATAACTGTGGATTGCGCCATCTATAGGTTACCACTGCGTTCCATTTCTAAAGGGAAAGGAAAAGGAGGAGGAAAAGGAGAAAGGAGAAAAAGAAAGGGAAAGGAGAAAGGAGAAAGGAAAAAAGGAGAGAACAAAGAAGGGGGAAAGGAAAGGAGGAGGATGTTTCAGGGTTGCGCCATCTATGCAGGGATTCTTAAGTCCAAAGTTTCCAAGCCTCCGCATAATTCACCCAGTCGGTTGCGCTCGGTTTTTTCTCTTCCCTTTCTCATTCCCTTCCCCCTTTCCCCTTCACCTTTCCCTTTCCCCTTTCCTTTTCTCCTGTCCCCTTCCCTTTCTCCTTTCCCTTTCTCCGTTCCCTTTCTTCTTCTTAGTTCTCCTTTTTTCCTTTCTCCTCTCTCCTTCCCCTTTCTTTTTCTCCTTTCTCCTTTCCCTCCTCCTTTCCCTTTCCCTTTACAAATGGAATGCAGTGGTAACCTATAGATGGCGCAATCCACAGATATGGTTTCCCAAAGAAAAATCCAGTTGCCTGTCCCTTTCTCTTTCTCCTTTCTCCTTTCCCTCCTCCTTTCACTGTCCCTTTCCCTTTCTCCTTTCCCCTTCTCCCTTCCCTTTCCCCTTCCCTTTCTCCCTTCCCCATTTCCCCTTCCCTTTCTCCTTTCCCCATTTCCCCTTTCTCCGTTCCCTTTCTCCTTTCCCTTTCCCCTTCTTTGTTCTCCTTTTTTTCTTTCTCCTTGTTCCTTTCCCTTTCTTTTTCTCCTTTTTCCCTTCTCCTTTCCCTTCTCCTTTCCCCTTCCCTTTACAAATGGAACGCAGCGGTAACCTATAGATGGCGCAATCCACAGTCATGGTTTCACGAAGAAAAATCCTGTTCCCTGTCCCTTTCGCTTTCTCCTTTCTCCTTTCCCTCCTCCTTTCACTGTCCCTTTCCCTTTCTCCTTTCCCCTTCTCCTTTCCCTTTCCCTTTCCCTTTCTCCCTTCCCCATTTCCCCTTTTCTGCTTTCTCCTTTCGCTTTCTCATTCCCTTCCCCTTTCCCTTCTCCTTTCCCTTCCCCTTTCCCCTTTTCTTTTCTCCTTTTCTCCTTTCTCCTTTCTCCTGCAATTGGATGGCACTGTCCCAGGTGGTTGCGCCATCTATTTAGTAGTGAAAAAATCTTTCCCCGAAAAACTTTTGTTGAACACACATCCCCCTTACTTTTTCAACGCTTTGATGACCGAAATGTCCGGTCCCGGAAGAAGGAATTTAAATTACAAATGGGGTAGATGGCGCAATTTGGCCCATTTTGCACATGTAGGGTTGCGCCATCTTCGGGCACATTTGCTGTTTCGGGTACATATCGGATTGAGTTTTTTCACTACTAAATAGATGGCGCAACCACCTCTGAGAAAGTAGGTCAGAGCCATGCACTTTGAATCCGGAGTAATTGATTTTCAAAGCCTTTACATTCTCTAAGTCCATTTTGGCGTCAGGGTTTCTGCGCACCTTCACAGAAAGCCTCAGCTTCAGATGCTTTCCAAGGATAATTTGAACTATGCGCGTCGCCCTGCTCGAAGGGTCGCTTGCTGAACACGATTTGTTTCTCCTGTTCATCTATGGTTAATCTACAACTTTGAACACTGCGGCACATTATGGCCAGTTGATCATGTACAGGTTGTGTGCATTTGTAGCCTGGACTATATTCTTCGGGTGCTATGGAGTTGTATTAGTTGTATCAGTTGTATCCTATGTCAGTTTTTGGTCTTTGCAATATTGCAGAGCACAGAGTTTCTGGATGTTTGTGATTGCTGCAGAACTTCATCCCAGACTCGGACATCCCTGACGAGGCTTAACGGGGCGGTGTTGGAAAGCAAAGTAGGGAAGACCGCTGAGATAGAACTGAGATGGAATGAATGTAGTCACAAAATGTCACAACTGCAAACCGCTTTTGAACTGCATTGCCTCATTTATTGAGGCTCCGTCAGGGCTAGAGACCATTCACCAATTTTCAGAAACCAATCTCAAAAAAGGAAGTCGTCAACCTGAATCAGCCTTATGGGCTCTCAGAAGGAGAATTGCAGTCATCAAAATCATCCCGCGCTCCAATACTCCAAACCTAAATCGTGCAAGTTGTCCCTTTGCCATTTTTCTTGCCCTCTCACCCTCCCTCTCTGTCCCTCCCTCTCTCTCTCTCTCTATCTCACACTCTGCAACTCTTTGACGGGAACGATGCTACGATGCCACCCAAATATTTATTCCTATCACCAGGACAGTTCTTGCTGGCTGGAAAGGACCACCATGATTTTCTGCTGCGCTTCTCTTGGACAACACCGTTTCCAACTTCCAAAGATCTGTATTTGATATTTTTTGATGATATTTTATGTATCTGAAAACGTTCTTTTTGACACCAACTTCACATCCTGTTTTGGATCTCAGTGCTGATATGCCAATATCAGCTTGTTTGATCCGTCAAATGATGTTGTTGGCTGGATATTGCAGCAATTGTTTTCCATCCAAAGAAGAATGGCCGCGCCTCTGAAGACACTGCCCCGGTGCTTTCGAAGTGGCAATTGGAGCTCCAAAAGTCATGAATGCGGCGGATTGCTGCATTTTGTGAACATCTGTTGCCGGGTCTAATAGATTTGGGAGCATATATTCAAACATCACCTCAGAACACCAACGATGTGCATTTTGCCTCCATGAAATAATTTTTCTTATTTTCTTTACGATTTCCATTGTCCGAAAATTGTACCCTATATTTCTTTCATTCAAACTGCTGTCCCGAAGAGTTCTGCAGTGTCCTGCTCACCACACTTGTTTTTTGCGAGCAGTATGCTATCAACTACTATCAACCACAACTCCAACTGAATCAGCGGGAGCAATAATCAAACCGTGCAGCTCGCATTGGGTGCATGAAAAGTGTAAATGTGGAACTCTTCAACTTCATAGACCCATTTCCGCTTGAGACTTGGTTCTTTGGTCGATGTATTTTCTTTCGAGAGACGCAGCGAAGGTTTACAATTTGGCGTTGCAAAATGGGGCTGTTGGATGTTTTTGCTAGACTTGTTGTGACCAATTGGAGAACGGTATCCGAAAGACTGAAAGACGAACATGATGCCAGGGCTTGAAGTTGTGGACTGCCACTGGCCGGATGCGAACTGGCCTTCGAGCGCCGCCTCAACGGGCCTTACCACGGAGCAGCCTGGCTTTGATTTGTCACAAAGTTTCAGCTCCTGCAGCCTGCAAACTTGAATGTCGCATGATGTCACATGTAAATCATGTAACATCATTCAACATCATGGAGTTTTTAATATCTTTGAATCATACACTCTTCTATAACACCCAAGCACCGTCCTGGCTTTATTTATTTTTTGTCCTTGGTTAGTGAAAATCAAGATGGGCATGTAGCGACATCAGAAAACGGCGCCGAAAGGACTATGAAGCACCTAAATGGAAACAGAATAACAAGCACCCAGGAACCAACGTCGTTTTGTCATGTTTTACAGTTTTTTTGGCTAACCATTTTTTTTTTAAGGCAGCTATTTGCCGGCTCGAACACATCCCAGTCAGTCTTGTGTTGTGTGTTCACAATGGCCGGCCAATCAACTCAAGAGTTTTTAAATTGCACACATTCACCTTTAGAAATTGTCAAAGCTGATCTCCAAATCAAGGCCGATCCAGGTTCCGGTCTTTGTTTTTTGTCTTGTCACAATTCTTCTGGCTAAATAAATATCAAATCAGGTGTCAGGTTAGTTTTCGGGATCATGTAGTGCATGAGTAACCATAATCATATAGTGTTAGTCGTCAAGGAAAAAAAGATACGTAACTCGATTAAAAAAACAAGTTTTTGTTATTTGCTCATCATTTAATCAGTTCTGTTCCCTCGCGAAAACACTATTCAGGTGCTATGTTAGTTTTCAGGGTCCTGTGCAGCATGAGACTCCATGCCAAACAGCAGGGCCCACAGTCCAGACTCAAACCACAAAATGTTCAAACGGCACATGATTTCCTTTTTAGAAGTTGTAGAAGAAACATAGGCTTTGCAAGCAGGCGCTATATAGATTAGGTTTCGAGGTCTTGTAAAAAACTTTTGCCATGCTTTGTGAGAGGGCTCGTATTGTGGGGCTCAACGGGCAGGTGCCTGGTTAGCAAGATTTTGGGGATAAAAAAACAAACCTAGCACCCTGCTCATGCCAAAAATTGGATGAATTGCATCAGGTATTCCCCAAAAAAAGTCTTCGAAAGTAGGTTGATTTCTGTGCTAAGTTAGCGTAAACCCCTCATGTTATAAGTTATAAGAAAAAAGTGGCCATGGTTTACCCAGGGATGCTCCCATCTATTCTGGGCCTGGTTTGTTCCAAAATAACTTGATGTCGGACCCTCGGTTGTTGAGAAGAGAGTATATGTTGGAAAGTCTCTCGGGATGTTTTCTTCTACAAACTTTTGAGAATGTTCAAAGAAC